AGTTAAAATTCGGCAAGGCAAACCACTTTTGTATGTAGAACAGTAGTTCTAAATTATTTTAGATTAGTTTAGGGTTAATTTTTTCTTTTTTTACGCAATGCAGACTGACCCTTTTCTTCTATTTAACAGAATTCATAGTTTAAAATATCTAAGGTCTGCAACATTGGGTAGCAAAGATATAGTCATAGCTTGAAATATCAAAGGTTACAACACCAGCTTGCAAAGATGTAGAGATTAGAAAATTATAATTTGTAGCGAATTTTTAGTTTTTTTTTTGTGCGTTTTTTTATGTTACTTACAAAGTGATTAAAAAAGCGGCATTAGCTTTAGTTTACAAACCACAAGGGAAATGTTTTCAGAGTTCATGTTTGGGGTTAAAAAATATAAAATTTAGTAAGACAAGTGCTAAATTTTTTTTAACACAAACAGCGCGAAATAAAAATTATTTAACTTTTTTCTTTTTAAAAAGAAATCGATTAAAAATCATTTTTTTTCTATTCTAAAGTTTCATACAAAAATCTATAGATGAATAAAACATAACACGCATTTTCCATTTGATAAAATATTGTTGCATTTTAGTAAGTATCTACATTTCTAAATTTTTCAACCTAAAACATGAACCACGTCAACTGAAGTTATGATTTTAAGTGGTCAAATAAACATGAAACCCAGCAATTGTGTTTGTTCATAGACCCGTTCCACTTAATAATTTGATTTTTTTGCAATTAGTAAATCATTTGCTTTATTACAGAAAATGCATATGTAAATTTTCTTAATGTCGTCTTCCTTTTCCAGAGTATTAGTGGGTTTCATCAAACAATGGCAAATCAAAAACCTTCAATGTCCAAGAAACATTTATAAGATTTTATTTTTTTTCAAATTTACTAATCCCTATATCTGTCCAACCCGATGATTTAAACCTTGTATATTTCAATATTAATGGTCTACGACATCGGGTTGCAAAGATATATTACATGAAAATTAGAGTTTTTGGCATAAACTCATTTTCTTTAAACTTGAAATGAAAAACCATAAGTCTTATAATCATTGGAATTATTGTTACACTTTTTAAATTAAAACTCAGCCCTCATAGTCTAACGTTTCATGAACGACATTTTCATTAGACATATATCTAACGTTAGACTAATCAATTTAGTATTCAGAGAAAAGTTATAAGGTGTTTTGATTTAAAGAATTATATTTTTTTAAATGTTATACGCTATTTATTGAAATTTTACTCTGTAAAAAAACTTTCGTTTCCTGATTATTAAAAATTTAAAATAATAACCCATTTCTGCAACGCTGAATTTTTCATTATACTTTAAGGGAATACGTTTCAAAACGTTTTCATAAACAGTAATACATTTTTCAGTTATACAACGTTACACTTTTTATAAGTTGAACTTTGAAATAGAAATCCTTTCGTTACGATATTTAATCAAATCACAATTCATTTTTCAAACGTTAGACTTTCAAGCTCCCTTTGGAAACAAAACATTTCTTTACGTTATGGTCAAAAAAGTTGTAGATATTAGAAAAATAACGTTACATTTCCACAAAACGCTAACGTTGGGGTATGTTCCTCTAACGTTAACGTTGTGTATGAGCTCCTATAACGTTAACGTTTAACGTTCATGTTATATAGAATATATCCAAACGTTACACATTAATGTAACGTAACGTGCAAAAACGTACATTTTACGTTATGTTACACTATCGATGACATCTCTATCCTGGACCAAAGACGGGTTAAAATAAAAGCTCATAAAAAGTATGTCAGCCAGTCATAAATATAACAAAGCATTATTTATCATTCTTTGTAAGCAATATCTATATCTTTGCAACTTGATGTTAAAAACCTTTGATATTTAAACTACTTGATCTTACAGAATTTTTAGTTTAATATGGATTCTGTGAAATTGATATGTGATTTGTAATACTATTCCCGACAACTTTTATTTCAATAACTTCATTTTTCCTCCGTAAAAAAAGCTTCTCAGGCTAAAACCATGGGTTAAAAGTCCTTTGCCGACTATTTGAAGAAATTGAGCAAAATTTTTTTTTTCATGCTTCCTTTTTTACAGTCTAATGTCTTAGAAAAAAAAAACTGAAAAAAGTCAAAATTGAAGCTTTTAGGACAAAAAACGTACTTTTTTCCGAATTATGTGTTTCAAACATAAATATGTATCCCAAAGTGTCGAACCATCTCAAAACTTTCTTTTCTTTAAATCCAGTCAAGTTTGATATATATTTGGCATGTAGATAGAAAAATATGCGGTATAGATAAGTCTAAAATGTTTTTTTTTTAGGACAAAAAACGTTTATTTCGAATTTTGAGTTCTAGACATGAAGTTTGGTATTTTGGTACAAATATACTCATTTTTTGTTTGAACAGAATTAGATTAGTTTCTTCAATCCTTCGACATGTTGGTTGTACTACATATACAAAAAAGGTAAAATATGTTTTTGAAACTAGAGAATGAGTACTCTCAGTTTGTTACTGATCACTATTGCAAATTTACAAGCTATGTTTGTCTTAAAGTGCCTGAAAACAAAANATTTCAACAGCCTCAGACCAATACTTTTTGAGTTATGCAAAAAAAACTACAGGGGGGGGGGTCAAATTGACCCCCCCCCAGCGGGAATAGGGTTAAAAGGCGAAGTTATTGAGCTATCAAAACCATTGAGCTTACAATGGTATCTGTTCCTTACTATACTAACAAATTTTCAGATTACTTTTATTGGTATTTTGGTACAATTTTACTCATTTTTTGTTTGAACAGAATTAGATTAGCCAGGAAACAAGAAGATTGGAAACATGATTATCTGCATTCTGCATTAAATACATGTATCAAATAATTTGTTTCATAAAAAAAATTTAAAAAATAAATAAATTGATAAAGTTAAAAAGTTTCTTCCATCCTTTGTCATGTTGGCTGTACTACATATACAAAAAAGGTAAAATATGTTTTTGAAACTAGAGAATGAGTTGCAAATTTACAAGCCATGTTTGTCTTTAAGTACCTGAAAACAAAATCTATTTGAAAAGTTTTTTTCAGAAATTTATATAAAGAGAACCCAACTTAGTATTTTGATTCAGGTGAATAACTCAAAGATTTAAAAAAAACTCTTTGGTTGAGTTGATAAACTTCATGGTTTGAATGAAAAACTAGATGGTTCCAATAAAATCTTCATGGTTTTATGGAAAAGCTTCATGGTTTGTATGAAAAACTCAATCGTGGTGAAGTGAAAACTCAATGGTTTACATCAAAACCTCCATGGTTTTAGTGATAAATAAAACGGTTTAGATGACAAATCCATGGGTTGAATGAAAAACTTCATGGTTAAACGAAAACTCGATGGTTTACATAATCTCCAAGGTATGGATGAAAAAACATATGGTTGACGAAAAACTCGATTGTTTCAAATGAATAACTCAATGGTTTAGATGAGACACGCAATGGTTTAGATGAAAAACTCTATGGTTTAGATGGAAAACTACATGGTTTGAAAACGAACTCAAATTTGATTGAAAACCTCCTTTAAATGATAAACACCGGCCATGGTTTGAATGAAATGCTTCATGTTTTGTCTAAAATCTCCATGATTAAACTAAAAACTCCTTAGTTAAACGAAAAACTTTCTAGTTTCAATAGAAATTTTCAACGGTTTAAATAAAAAAAAATGTATTTTAACCAGTTTCAGGGTGGCCAAAACTTTTTTGAACACATCCGTACAAAAATCCGTACATTTTCAGAAGAAATCCGTACAATTTTCGAAAAACAATCCGTACAATTTTTAAAAAAAAAAATCCGTACAATCCGTACATTTTATTAAAAATCCGTACATTTTAAAAAAAATCTGTACAATCAGTACAATTTTCGAAAAAAATCCCATTTTTGAAAAAAACATTAAAATTCAATTTTTCATTCATTGTCTTTTGTGTTCAGTTCATGTAAGAGGGTTTAAACTTCTTCAGCAAGAATCAATCTGTAAAAAATTGGCTTCATACATATATACAAACTAAATACTGGGTACATGATACTAGGTGCATGATACTGGATACTGGATACATGATACAGGATACTGGATACAGGATACTGGATACTCGGTACATGATACAGGATACTGGATACATGATACTAGGTACATGATACTGGGTACATGAAACTGGGTACATGATACAGGATACTGGGTACATGATAAGGGTACAGGATACTGGATACTGAATACAAGATACTGGATACAGGATTACAGGATACTGGATGCAGGATACAGGATACTGGAAACAAGGTACTGGATACAAGATACTGGATACAGGATACTGAATACTGAATACTGAATACTGAATACTGAATACTGAATACTGAATACTGAATACTGAATACAAGATACTGGATACAGGATTACTGGATAAAGGATACTGGATTGATACTGGATACAGGATACTGGATCCAGGATACAGGATACTGGATACAGAACACAGGATACTTGATGCAGGATCCAGGATTCTGGATTCAGAATACTGGATACTGGACACGGGATACAGGGTACAGGATACAGGGTACAGGATATTGAATGAATACTGGATACAGGATACAGGATATTGAACTTAATACAGGATTCTGGATACTGGGTACATGATACTGGGTACAGGATACTGTGTACAGGATACTGGAACATCTTCTTGAATAAGCAATCAAATAAGTACTTATGGAACATATTCTCAAATAAACACTTCTTGGACATATCTCGAAAATTATGAATGAATTTTGATTGTCTATTGAAACATTTATCAATCTAATATTATTTAGAATGCAGAAAATAAGTTCAACTAACTCCATTTTGACGAGAATTTTTTTTATTTTCATGAAAAATTTGCTGAAATTAGTGAAAGTTTAAAAAACGGTGTATTTTCCAGGATAAAAATCCGTACAATTTGAAAACAAATCCGTACAATTTTAGGATCAAAAAAAATCAATCCGTACAATCCGTACATTTTGGCCACCCTGCAGTTTTCTTCTTGCATTTAGTAAATCAAAGACATTTTTAGAGTTGAAAAATAATATTCCAATAATTTAAATCTTTATGTGGTTTTTAAATGAGTTATATTTAGATAATTCTGGTACAACGGTTTACATAATAAGTTTACAAATATGAATTTTTAAAATGACAATGTTCAATATTTACAGTTCTAATTAGTTTGTACATTTTGGTTAAAAAAATACTTTACACAATTGATATTTCTAGGTAACAGTCATTAAGGTTATTTTGTATAGTACTTCAATGTCCCAAAAAAACAGATGTCAAAAATTAATGTCAAAAACTATGTCAACCATTCTGCGTAGTAAAATAAAATTTAAAATCTATAATATCTGTGTAATCATACTAATTTAGAATCTATAAAGCAAGAGAATTTATTTCATCAACAAAGTCAAAAAACAATATATTAAACCGGATGACAAAATGTCTGAGTGAATTGTAAGGACGGAAATATGATAATTAAAGACAGGGAAATGAGAATGTAGCGATGAGAGTATAAGTACGGGGATAAGAGAATGTAAGGATAGGGATGTGAGAGTGTAAGGACGGGTATAAGAAAATATATGGTCGGATATAAGTAAATGAAAGGACAGGAATAATGGATAAAAAGAGTGTTAAGATAATACAAGGATAAAATTAGAGAATGTATGGAAAAAGATAAGATACTAACATGACCTGAATATGATAATGTAATGACGGGGAAGCCAAAATGAGATAAGGACATGGATGAAATATTATAAAAATGTGGATAAAAAATGTAAGGGCGAGGAAATCAGAATGTAAGGACATTGATTTGATAATATAAGGTCGTATATAAGTGAATGTAAGAACAAGATATGAGAATGTAAGACACAGACAGTGATAACATAAAATAACAATAAAATTTGAGAATGTAAGAATAGGGATAAGATAATATAAGGATAGTTTTGAGTTAATATAAGGAAAGAGATTCCAGAATGTAAGGACAGGGATAGTGGAGTAAAAAGACGACGAGAAGATACTATCAGGACAGGGATAAGAGATCTGAAAATGTAAGGACAGATGTAGGAGACTGTAACTCGACGTGGTATCATAATATAAAGGCCAGGGATTAGATAAATAAAAATATTGAAAAACAATGTTGATGAAATAAATACTTTTGGGTTTTTCAGAAGGTCAGTTTTACACGCCAATATATTTGTTCTTCTCTCCTTCTCTGCATTCAGGAAGTCTAAACAAAACAAAAATAAAATCATGCAATAATTCTAATTTATATTAAGGCAAGGATATACAATTCGTTTATTTAACAATAACAAATATTTCTATTCTTTAGGAGAAACTTTAACAGTTCTTGGGGAGAAGAGTAACGAAATTTTGTTTTGAAGACTAGCAATAGCACATATATTTGTTAAGTGAAACAAATATAACTTAAGGATGGCATGACCATAATTACTCAAGTTTAGTTACAAACCTTACAACTTGACACAAATTTTATGCTTCTTATAATGTTAATAAGGGGTTTATCTTATTGACAAATCATTCCCCCACCCACCTCTTAGAAAGTATTTATTTGTTGTCAGTAACAAATGTTCGATTTTTATGGTAAAAAAGTTATTTTTTTAGGAATAACTATAGAGTTGGATAAAAAATCTAGTCTTTTGATGTCCTATTTTTCCATCCAAATAGAGAAAAGACAGCATCAAGATAACATAAGTGGACACTAGATCTTGACCACCTTGCTGGAGGATATATTTTTTTGAAAGATCATTGCTCCCTCTGTTCCAAAATTACATTCACAATTAGTGAGAACCTGTTCATCGATAAATTTTTACTAGGAATAAAATAAATTTTTGGAAAGATTTCACGATTTTATGAAAAAAAATTTCAAAGCTTGCAAGTTCAGCTTAATTCTTCCAAATAAATGCCTCTCTAACTGTGTGGTCTTGTAATATTATTAAACTTACTTTCAACTTTGTTATGTAGTAAAGTGTCCCAGGGTAATCCTGCCCTCTCCATTACCTTCCTGGCATCATCCATCTTCGGCCTTCTGGGAGGAATGGCATCAAATTCCTTTTTAAATGCGAATCTACAAAATTTTTTTTGATATAATTAATAAGTTTTTAACATAACAAAACTAGGAAATTTTTAATTTTTTAATCTTTACACCAAATCCCCCAATTTTAACAATGTGTTTAAAAATTCTTTCTGAAATCTAGTCTTTGAATTCGTAGAAAAATATTTACGCTTACAAAAAAAAATTCTGAAAAATGCTTAAACCGTCAAATTGAACTTTTCTCATGAAAATTCGAAAATGAATAGTAAATTATGATCAAAACAAACCATATAATAACAAAATAATTGCGGATGTTTTCCAAAATTTTATCTATAAAGTTTATGTCTAAGGTGAAAATTCCTTACTTTAAAAGCTCTTTGTAGTCCTCCTTAAGTCTCCTTCTCGAATGTTCATATGGAGAGATTATTACTTTTCCAGTCATTAAAGATTCCATTCTTTCTCTCTTAGGTGTAAAAAGATTCTCTTTAGGCTTTGTCATCTTCTGCTTCTTTGTTTTAACATTGTAAGCAAATAATCTCAGATGATGTAAGAATGAAAATTCTTACAAAAACCAACCAACAATTTAGCCTTACTCATATCCGTGTATGTATCTGTATCCCTGTCCGTGTTCGTGTCCGTGTCCGTGTCCGTGTCCATGTCCATGTCCGTATCTGTATCCTTATCAGTATCATCAACATCATCATAATCTTTTTCTTAAGATTTTCATCATTAATCACCATTTATTAACATTTGCCATTATTAGTCATTTTTTTATCATTAATAATAATTATAATTATCTATATTATGGTAATGATATGAAAAATAATAAAAAGTTACCTTGGATCTGGATGTACTCTGCTCCTCCAGAGAATCAGAACTTTCAACCTGAACATTCATCATTCTCATCATTCTCATCATTCTCATCATTCTCATCATTAATCAAATAAGTACTTATGGAACATATTCTCAAATAAACACTTCTTGGACATATCTCGAAAATTATGAATGAATTTTGATTGTCAATTGAAACATTAATCAATCAAATATTATTTAGAATGCAGAAATAAGTGAAACTAACTTCATTTTGACAAGAATTTTTTTTTTAATTTTCATGAAAAATTTGCTGAAATGAGTGAAAATTTAAAAAAACGGTGTATTTTCCAGGATAAAATCCGTACAATTCGTACAATTTGAAAACAAATCCGTACAATCCGTACAATTTTAGGGTTTAAAAAAATCAATCCGTACAATCCGTACATTTTGGCCACCCTGCAGATAAATAAAAATCTTTAAAAAAAAAATAATTCAACCTATAAATACTTACAAGAGATTTGGTAGGCATCACTAGTGCTTTATTAAATTTCAATATCTTCTTCTCCACTGATAATTTCTTCCCCACATCCTGTAAAAATAAACTACAATACCAAAGAAAATACAATAAATGCAACAGGACAAATCCACAAACAACCTTTTAAAAAAAATATTTTAATAACTCTCGTTCTCATATTTTCAGGTCGCTAATTTAAAATAATTAGTAATTATCAGTTCCATGAGTATGACTTTCTTAAAAAAGTAAGTTAAATGGTGTCGAATAAACATGGTAAATCAGAAATTAGTTTGATGTGGCCTCTTAAAAATTCTTTAATTTAGTTTATACCTATACTGAGACAGCAGTAATCCATTAGATTTTCGTCTCTTTATGTTTACAATTTGTTTTTTTGTTATGTTTAAATTGCATATCGTTGTACTCAGTAAAACAAGAAAATTTCTTGTTCGTCACTTCACACGCATCATCAGACGTTTACCGTTTTTATAAGATAAATAATTCGATATGGCTTTAAACCAGGTATTGAACGCTAATTCTTAAAAAAGACAATCTCTAATATGTCACTCATTTCCCATAGTTATTGGTACACCCAGTATGTTTACGTAAAGGATATATCCTTTTGGGGGGTTTGAGGGATGTGGAAGGAAGTTAAGTATTAAAAAGTAATAAAAATCTTGCTTTTTTGCTCAAATGTTGCTTTTCATTCCATCAAAAAAATAACAACTATTCAAAAATAATACGCTTTTAGGGCGCTTCCCGCCAATCTTTTATTCCATTAATGAACATTTTCTTTGTATACAATGTAGAACAAAAACAAAAAATTGTGGAACTAATTTTTTTAAAGTATTTAATGAAAATCTGAATTTGATGTAGGTAAATTTGTTTAAATTTTGATCATTCACTAATTTTACTAGGGGTCATGTGAGGTTCACTATAAATTTTGACCAAATCTGTTCAGCCGTCTCAAAACGGCTGAAACGATCAGACCCAAATGACGTTTATAACCCACAAGCAGACGAGCAAATAACATAAAAATTTGTACCATGCAATAAGTGTTAATAAATACCTGGTTCCAGTACTCATTCCTGTGGAGCTGGAACTCTTTTACATCTTCTATCAGCTTTGGATCACTGCCGGTTTCCCGTAAATGCTTTAAAGCCTGTGCTGCCATAATTCCCAAGGCTTTCGGAAACTCTCTGAATAAATTTTAAATAAAATTATCATAAGGAAGAAGTATATCAAAGAAAAAAAAATGAAACTATCTTATATTTATTTCATTTTAAGTATGGTTCCTTTCTTAACACTTGCAACAATGATTTTCTGTGCAAGATGATGGAGAAAATATCAATGATTTTCTGTGCAAGATGATGGAGAAAATATCAATGATTTTCTGTGCAAGATGATGGAGAAAATATCAATGATTTTCTGTGCAAAGTGATAATGAAGATTTTACACCGGAGAAAATAGGTGTTTAATAACATTTACTTTATTCAAAGAGATTCTTCTTTAAAAACATTGCACATATTTCCGTCTATTTTAAATAAAGAAACTGTTAAAATAATTAGTTTTTATACTCACAATGAGACTGCTTTGAAGTTGAAGAAGTCAGTTTTCAATTTACCAGTTCCAAGATCCGTCATAATCTTCCAGTACTTTTTGACATTAAGGACTTCCAACATACTAAGTTCTTTCCCTGCAGCTTCCGACACCGCGGCAATTATCTTTGAGATCATCCTAGCAGGGGTTGTATATTTTTTTTCAAAGATAGAACCAGCTATTCCCATATAGAAGAAATTGAGGGAAGTGGGGTGTGAGGTGGGAAAGGGAGATTTAAATACCCGTATCAAAATTGAAGAACAAAGAAAATGGGCGATTCTCACAAAAGATTTACTTAGCTGAAAGTGTAATTTCAAGTGAACCCTCAATCAAAGATACAAATGCCCGATTTATAACGATACACTTAAAAATGTTGTCTCATCAGGTATGAATTAGATATCCTTTTTTACAATTGTTTAATTTGTATTGAACTTTGAGTTAATAGAACAATGTTGTTCTCAAATTTTTTATCAATAAGGATTTAAAAGATGTTGTTTAAATCGGACATTGCCATCTTTAGATTTAAGCTCGCTTGAAATTACACTGTCCCTTGAAATAAACATAAATAATGTGTGAGCAAAATATCTTAACTCCCTAAATCTAGTTTTGATGGTACCATAGTCATCTTGATCAGTCCGGTTTTCCAATGCATTTGTTATATACCCAACAAGAATAACATCTTTAGCTCCAATATGATAGACCTCATCTTTTTTCATGCTCAGAGACAGCTCCTTAAACAATTTAGGGTGCCAGTCATCGGAAGACGCTTTTGATCTCAGTTCTTTTACTTTCTTTCTTCGATTTACTATGTCCTTGTTCTTAGGGCAATACAAACGAATATGCTGTGCGATGGTAGAGCGTTTGCACCTCCTGCCGCAATCACATATGATTGTCTGAGCATCTACAAGTCCACTTTTCTTAAGCATTTCTGATTTTAATGTTGCCCATTGTCTGTCAAATTCTTCTATGTTTAACGCTTGCAGCTTTATCAGTGAGATGACATATGGCTCGGTTTGATGTTTGTTAGTAAAATGTCTCCATAGGTGGAAAAAAAATTTACCACAAAGGCCACACCAATCCTGGCCCCGTTTCTTATTTGTAGATTTGGCAGAAATAGAACTTTTGGGGGTTGTGGATTGAGATTGTGAGTTTGGATACATCATCCGTTGAGACTTCATCGTCTGTTGAGGCATCCTCATCTGTTGAGGCATAATCATATTTTGAGGCATCATCATATCTGGAGGCATCCTCTGTTGAGGCATCCTCATCTGTTGAGGCATAATCATATTTTGAGTCTGGAGGCATCATCATATCTGGAGGCATCCTTGGAGGCATCATCATATCTGGAGGCATCCTCTGTTGAGGCATCCTCATCTGTTGAGGCATGATCATGTTTGGAGGCATCATCATATCTGGAGGCATCGTCATATATTGAGGCATCATCGGCATCTGGGGTAGATACAAATGGAAATGAAATGGATTGTCTTGTGGGATAGGATTTCCATAAGATGATTCTTGAGGTTTTGCATGTTGCTTCTTGCCTTCTGTACGAGGTTTGACGGGTGGTTCTCTTTTCTAAACATATTATTTGCATTTAAGCAAAGTTGTATAACTATATCTTTCATTCCAGCAGGTTTTTTTTTACCCCCACCCCCCTTGGTAGGGTGCCACGAGAAAAAATTCCCAGATGTGCGAAAACTTGGATAACTGGGAGAACATGAAGAACTAGAAGAACTAGGAGAACCCAGAAAACTAGGATAACTAGGAGAACTAGGAGAACTAGGATAACTAGGATAACTAGGAGAACTAGGAGAACTAGGAGAACTAGGAGAACTAGGAGAACTAGGAGAACTGGAAGAACCAGGAAAACTAGGAGAGCTAGAAGAACTAGGNCCCCCCAATGGTTCTAAAAGCTAATTTTGCTGAGATTTCACACGTCAGAGTAAAATTTTTACGCTTTAAGTTTAAAATTTTAAAATTTGCAAAAGTACATTTTGTATCATTAATTATTCATTTTCAAAACAAAATATTTTTAAATCAAAATATGTTAGGGAAATATTTTTATTAATAAAATCCTACTTTTTCTCGCAATTTCGTAATTTAGTAACGAACTAAAACTTTCATGTAAAATATATGGATGACCCATAGAGTAACAGCCAGCTACTAGCGCCGGCGAGATTGTTGTAATTTTTATTTTGACATTAAAATTAAATTCCAAGTGCCCAATTACCTGAGAATTGATATACAACATGTAAAATATAAGCAAAGATTACCCATAATGTAACTGCCGGCTACTAGGGCGCAGGTCAGATACTCCAAATGGAATATGTGATATCACCAACTAAAATCTGGAGCAAGGGGGGGGGTGATTTTACAACAAATCCAAATCCTATGTAAGATTTTTTACCTTATGTATTACCAATTTTCGTTTCCGAGGGTTTAGGAAATTTATATCGTAACCACCAGACTCCTTAAAATGTGTAGCTCTAGTTTTTTATATGTTGAGAAACACATTGCTCAAATATAGCTTAAGTTCTATATAATATATTAAGTCCTTTTTCTTCAAAAACATGTAGCTCAAGATCCTTTTATGATCAAACAGTCTAGCTCAAGTCTTTTTATCATAAAAACATAAACCTCAAGTCCTTTTTTCAAAAACAGCTCAAGACCCTTTTATGATTAAACAATCTAGCTCAAGCTCAAGTCCTTTTTATCATAAAAACAGATAGCTCAAGTCCTTTTTAATATTAGAATTAAATACAGTCCTTTTTGTTAAATATATTTACAACATTTTAAATGAACTGTGGGAGCTCTAAAATGTTTTTAAACTAAGAAAGAGAACAAGATATTATTCAATACTGATACAGCGATTCCCCAATATTTACTGTTTTACAATATCCTACTAAATAATATGTTCTGAGCATTTGCCTTATTTGCTTATTCAAGTATATTTGTCTATCCAGTAAACAGTGAAGTAGTACACAGATTTTAGTTAACATTTAAGCTTAATTTCATTAAAATTTTATAGCTAAAGACCTTTATATTATAAGAAACATTTAAAACAAATTATAGCTCAAGACCTTTCAATGTTTAAAAAGCTTACCTTTTTATAATCAAAATCATAGCTCAAGTCCTTTATATTGTGAGAAACATATAGATGAAGTCCTTTATATAATGAGAAACATACAGCTCAAGTCCTTTTTAATATTAACATCATATAGCTCAAGTCCTTTTAACTCTCATAAACATGTAGCTCAAGTGCTATTAATCATTAAAGTTATATAGCTCAAGTCCTTTATATTTTAAGAAACATATAGCTCAAGTCCTTTTTTTCATTAAAATCATAGAGCTCAAGACCTTTCAATTCTCATAAACAATTAGCTCAAGTCCTATTTATCATTAAACTCAAGTCCTTTATATTTTGAGAAACGTATAGCTCAAGTCCTTTATATCATTGAAGTCATATAGCTCAAGTCCTTTATATATTGAGAAACATATAGCTCCAGTTCTTTTTATCATTAAGGAAGTATAGCTCAAGACCTTTTATTAAAAAAAACAAATAGCTCAAGTTCTTTTAATCATTAAATTCATATAGCTCAGGTCCTTTATATTTTGAGAAACATATATCTCAAGTCCTTTTTTTTCATTAAAATCATAGAGCTCAAGACCTTTCAAATCTCATAAACATGTAGCTCAAGTCCTGTTTATCATCAGTCATATAGCTCAAGTCCTTTATATTTTGAGAAACATATAGCTCAAGTCCTTTTATTCATTAAAATCATAGAGCTCAAGACCTTTCAATTCTCATAAACATGTAGCTCAAGTCCTTTATATTATAAAAACATTAGCTCAAGACCTATTTACTATTAGAATATTATATCTCAAGTCCTTTCTTTTAAAAAATCATAAAGCTAAAGTCCTTTTAATGATTCAAAACAAATAGGTCAAGTCATTCATATTATAAGAGGGATAAAGCTTGAGTCCTTTAAATCATTAGAATATTATAGCTGAAGTCCTTTTTATTTAAAGAAAACATAAAGCTCAAGTCCTTAATTGAAAAAAAAAACTTAAAGATCAAGACCTTTCAATTCTGAAAAACATACAGATAAGAACCAAAAATGTTACCTCAGAAAGGTTCTGTTCATCATCAAGAGTTCCAGTTTTAGCAGAACTACATGTGCTCTGATGGGGCCGAGAAGTAGAGCTTTTAACCTGAATGTAAATCATTATCAGGAGATCATTATTAGGAGAACTAGGAGAACCAGGAAAACTAGGAGAGCTAGAAGAACTAGGAGACTAGGAACACTAGGATAACTAGGTGAACTAGGAACACTAGGAGAAGTAGGATAAGACTAGGAGAGTTAGAAGAACTAGGAAACTAGGAAACTGATAACTAGGATAACTAGGATAACTAGGATAACCAGGAAAACTAGGAGAGCTAGAAGAACTAGGAGACTAGGAACACTAGGATAATTAGGTGAACTAGGAACACTAGGAGAAGTAGGATAAAACTAGGAGAGTTAGGAGAACTAGGAGAACTAGGATAACTAGGATAACTAGGATAACTAGGAGAACCAGGAACACTAGGAGAGCTAGAAGAACTAGGAACACTAGGATAACTAGGTGAACTAGGAACACTAGGAGAAGTAGGATAAGACTAGGAGAGTTAGAAGAACTAGGAGAACTAGGAGAAATAGTAATACTAGGAGAGCTAGAAGAACTAGGAGACTCTGACCACTAGGAGAACTAGGAGAACTAGGTGAACTAGGAGAACTAAAAGAACTAGGATAACTAGGAGAACCCAGAAAACTATGAGAACTAGGAACACTAGGAGAACTAGGAGACTCGGAACACTAGAACCCATAGAAAAACTATGAGTACTAGAGAACCCAGAAAACTAGGATAACTGAGATAACTAACTGCCCAAATAATCAAACCTTTTTATTAACTGTACGAGGATTATGCAAGGATGAGAGTGTAGTCAGGATTTTTCTTTTCTAAACATAATATAATCAGTTTGGGTTCTAGATACATTGAATCGACATCCCCTGATCAGGGTTTGTGCAACATTGGGATCCACGAACCAGGATTCCGGTGACAATTAAAATTTTAACTCATAAGACATGTATTGAGTGTCAAGTGCAAAGTAGAGCCAGGCTAGGAAACCTGAGAAATCTCTTTTAAGAACCTGAAATACAGCTTATTAAAAAAGGGAAAAGTCTACAAGGTTAAGTTTAATGAACATAAATGAAGAACCATACCTTATCGGGAAGTTTTGGAAGAAATGAACGTTCTCCGTCACATTGTCATCATTGTCATCATTGTCATCATTGTCATCATTGTCTTCATTGTCACCGTTATCATCATTATAATCAGCAATTATTTGTATTGAAACAAAATTGCTGGGGTTATTCCTGGTCCCCCAGGCAATCCACACCCATCAGCACTCCCCCTACCGATACGCATTTATTTTTAATTATCAATGCTCGATGAAAAGGTTCAGGTATTAGACTGTGAACGAACAGAATTTTTGAGAACTGAACAAAATTTTTTTGATAAGGATGGTCACATTCAGGAAAAAAAAACATTTTTTTTGTTCAGAGAAATGAAAAAAATATCTTTTAAAACAAGAATGGGAAAGCCTATAACGAACGATTTAAAATCAATCGACCAACTAAGAAACTACAATTATTTTCACAAATGACGAAAATTTTTCATTTAAAAAGAAAATATGATAGTTTTTTTCATGAAAGACGTTTTTTGTATCACAGTTTATAAAAGCTTTGAACTAACGTTTATGTCGAACCAATGATTTGCCTGAATGAAGTTCAGTAAGAAAATGAACAAAATGTATTTTTAAAAAAAACAATATTTTTGAGAATAAACATACGAACATTTTTGAGAAAACGATCAAAATGGGTAGTTCATGAACGATGACAAAATGAAATGAAAAAAATATGCTTGTTTCTAATTTGTAAAAATGTTTAACATTATGATGTCGTTAGTCGTATAAAACTCCCGAAATCTGGAATGTCTGCTTACCCCCATAATCTGCTGGACTTGGGGACCTTTCATGGTTGTCTCTCTTGTCTTCTCCGACAACAGTACTTCAGAAAGCTTGTACCCTGAACAGTGAACAAGATAATAACACTGATTTCACGGTTCGTCTAAAATACTGAATCCCAATTTCACCAATTGAACTTTTTTCCCTTTCATTAATTTTTATACCTTTTAAATAAATATCTATTAAAAAGACAACATTTTTAATTTTATAGACCGAACAGCGATTGACTTAAAATTAAAAAAGAAACATTTTGCCCACAGGCCGAATTAAAAAAATTTTGAACTTTGATATTTTATACAAAGTTTCAACATTCTAGCCGGCGGACAATTTAAACCATATAGGAGGTTCATGAACGGGGTTCAAATTTAGTCTGCAGCCGATGTAATTGTTGAACACCAGAACAGGGGTTTATTTTTACAAGAATGGAATTCCTTCCTTTGGGAATAAAAATTAATTAGACTATTTTTAATTTAAAACTCCATTTCACAGTTATTTGTGAAACTATTGGCATTCGAATATAATCAAAAACATTTAAAATTGTTATTTGTCGTCTTCATATTCCACAGTTAATAAATAAGAATAATTAAAAAACTTAGAGCTGGATTTTAAAAATACTGTATATATTATTTTGATTAACCAAACCTACATTTTAGCGTCCGATTCCCAACACTACCAGAACGATTGAACTGTGAAAGATATCTGTTTTTCTATATGAAAATCATTGTCTCTGATGCATTGAAAGAACAGTCGAATGTAATCAATTGTTACCTAGACAAAGGTTCAACCTTCGTGATAAAAAGGTTTAAAGGATAACTTTGGGAATTGAACACGCTAAAATCAAAAGTAAGGCCTAACACCCTTTAAGTTTTCAGTTCCACTTACCAGTTGTAGCCTCTAGCGAGTCCGGGTCCAGTTCCCGGTCCTTCGAAATTTGTCCCATTGACTTAATTAAACAATAAATATAAAGGCCGAATTAATAGAATTTTAGCTGCGGCTTAAATTTAGACGCAGATAAATTATGGTTGGTTCCACTTAACTTTGTATTCAATGCTTCCAAGATTTAAGCCGGCGCTCAATTAAAACCGGTTTTTGGTCGATTTGAGGCGCGGCTCAAATTCATTAAATTCGTTCTTTAGTACTTAAAAAAATGATCAACCTATATTCAAAATATTGTAATTTAAAAGTGAAACTTTCTACAGCCCTCATAAAAATATACCTGAAGCATAATTCCATTTTGAAAATCGGCATAGGCATTAACAGGATCAAGATCTTTGCTCTTATCACAATCCTATGAGGAATAATAATAAGATTATATTTTAACCCAGCCCCAGACGGAAGACATGATATAAGATTATTTCATTCCTTAATTACTTTTACCCAAAACTCTATTTTCATTTACTTTAATTATAATATTGTTATCATAATAATCTATTTTCCCCCATGAAGTAATAAACCATCAATAAGTTCAGGTACTAACGGGAGAGGAGCAAATTTCTCACACTTCAGAATTTTTCGTCTATGACAGCTATATGAAGACAAATTAATCAATTTAAATTTTCAGCACAATCTCCCCCTCCCCTGTTTAAATCATTCAAGGGAAAAAATTAAGACCAAATTGCGTTATTTTTACAGCTAGGAAAGAAATGATTTTTAGACAAAATAGATTAATTTGGGGAAAAAAGACTGAAACAGAGAAACGTTTCATTTATTCCTTTTGTTTTTCGTGACCAAATCTTTGATATCATCACGTGAATTATTAAAAAAAACTTCCCCTTTATATTAAAAAGCATTTTCTAATATTGTAATGCGCAAACTATAGCAGCAATTGCACATACAAATAGCTTTAAAAAGTTGTTTTCACATCAAAATTACGTCGAGAATTACCTTTTAAACCACGTTTTACACCTAAATATCACTATTACCTGAAGAGCAAGGTTGAATTTTTTCATTTTCATGTAACAGAAAGCACGGTATAAGAAAATTTTTGGATCCTAGAAACCACCAATATTTATTTATGTTAAAGTAAAGTTCTGACCTATAGTTCATTAATGATCAGTTTCGTTATTAGTGATCATTTTCTGAATGAGAATAAGAATGAGTGAACTGATGCAGTCATTTAAAAATGTTATTTCTTTGTGAAAACAAAAAGATTTAAGAAGAAGAAAAATGCGACACAAAGAGGACACACAGGAGTCATAGATAAAAATTTAAATACAATTTGAAAAATAAATATTTTGTTTCCTTTGGGCTTTTTTCGATTGCTTTACTGTAGGATCCCAGTGCATCAGCCCACTGACCTTTCTTAAAGCTAAAATATATTAAATATTAAAGGACTGTTGACATGAATCTGTTATAAAAGCAACCATCAATTTAAAAATTAATATAATCTGTTCATTGGCCTGTTCAATCCTTATCTACCCAACAAGCTTGTTTTAATGTCTGTTAAATTCTGATAATATCCATAGTTTTTTGTTACATAATTCTGTGAAATTTATAGAGTAGCCAGAAATGGACTTCCCAGAACCGGGATAAAGTCAACATTTTGCTCAGATTAAGTTTTGATTTGTACCATTGTGAGTCAGGCATGCTCCTGTGAGTCACTTAAAATTACGTTGTCAGTCTATTAATAAAATTCCATCCAATAACATACCATGGGGGGATATTTGTGTTCAAGGTATAGAAAAAGGATTTATGTTTGAGAAGAATTTGGTTAGGGACTAGGGTTAAGGGTACAATAGGCAAGGGTTGAAGCTGGAAAAACAAGTGAAAAAAAATAAATACAGGTAAGAAAAATAGGGCCCAGGTTTGAACTTTGAAGTAAATTTCAAGTCCACAAAGAGTTGGGTTCAAACAAAGGAAAAAAAATGATGTTCAAGAGAATGATTGTCTTTTACCTCTTGTGTCCTTGTTGTTTCTCCTGTTGATCGAGCTCTCTAATCTCACTTTCAACCTTTATATTTAACCATATCAATTTTGTTTTAAATAATTCCCGCACAGGGTAAAAAGAGCCATTGATGTCCTACTTTTCTATTTTCACAAAGTAAATATTATTATGTCATTCAGCCACTAACACTGGGTTCAAGAGAATTACAAATGCATAAAATTGTTGAAGATTCAGTTTGTACTGTGAATGCCACATATGTTAGGTACCCTTCAAGCCATTAAGGCAGGGGTGTATATTGTCATTTTGAACCCACTACCTGGGAAAAGGGGCAAGAGGGAAGGGAACATGAGAAGAGGGAAGGGAAAAGGGGGAAGAGGGAAGGGAAAAGGGACAAGAGTGAAGGGAAAAGGAGAAGAGTGAAGGGAAAAGGAGAAGAGGGAAGGGAAAAGGAGAAGAAAGAGAAAAGGGGCAAGAGGGAAGGGAAAAGGGGCAAGAGGGAAGGAAAAATGGGCAAGAGGAAAGGGAAAAAGAGAAGAGAGAAGGAAAAAGGAAAAGAGGGAAGGGAAAAGGAGAAGAAAGAGAAAAGGGGCAAGAGGGAAGGGAAAAGGGGCAAGAGGGAAGGGAAAAGAGCAAGAGGGAATGAAAAATGGGCAAGAGGAAAGGGAAAAAGAGAAGAGAGAAGGGAAAAGGAGAAGAGGGAAGGGAAAAGGGGCAAGAGGAAAGGAAAAAAGAGAAGAGAGAAGGGAAAAGGAGAAGAGGGAAGGGAAAAAGGGCAAGAGGGAAGGGGAAAGGGCAAGAAGGAAAGGGGAAAAGTGGGAAGAAAACAGTAAAAAGGGAAAGGGAAAAGGGAGAAGAATATATTAAAAAATGATGATGTAAGTAAAGTAAAATAAACATATTTCTTTTAATTTGCATCTTCACAAAAACCCATCTTATGCGTTCTTCCGCCTCCCCAAACGCCCCCCCAATAAATTCTTGACTTTCTGATCTACTCATTCCACTCTTCCTTGAATCTGCTGACTTACTTCTAATTTTTCCCAACATTGTTAACAAAAATTATACCAATCACGTAATATATTAATATAATAATTCCAAGAATCCTGTGAAATCTCTGTTAACACAGCACAACGGGTTTAGTTGAGATGAATTACACTAAACCCACGCACTGAATCAAGGTCGATACACAGACTTCTTAAACATAGAGTAAACATACATTCATGATCAATATTCATTACTATAAACATTAACCCCGGAACCCAAGTTGTTCTCCGTCTACACAGACAACAGAATCAGTTGATAAAACACTGAATCCTATTATCTGAGTAAAGTTCAAAGCTTAGATTCCATCAAACATCTCTACAGCAGCAACACAGATCCATCACCGGGAATGCAAAAAAAATTCTCGTTCTACTAAACACGCGTCGCCAATTGTGTAACCCTTTAATGACCCTTTAAGAATTACCCCATTTAAAGTATGACTAAATCTGAATAAGTTCTTTAAAAATATACTGTTTTTAACACTTAAATAAATCTCTCTATCTATTCTATCCAGGAAACTCTCAAGTGAAAATAAACCCTTTTCATATAGAATCAATTCTCTAAACTAAAGCTTCTAAAACTCTGTCTTAAACTTATCAAGAAAAATACCTTGAAACATATATATTGAAGATATGGTAGAGACAAGACTACAGGCAAAACTAGGCACTTATAAAGCGTTGCTAACCCTTTTTATACTTAGGCAAGCGCAGCCTAGCTGAGCAAGCCTGTTTTGTAGAAAAAGGGTTTTCAACATAAAAAGAAATAATCTGCTGCAAAACATATAGATGAAGTTCTTTATATTATGAGAAACATACAGCTCAAGTCCTTTTTAATATTAACATCATATAGCTCAAGTCCTTTTAACTCTCATAAACAAGTAGCTCAAGTCCTTTTTAATTTTTATTATAAAAACCTATAGCTCAAGTCCTTTTATTTATTAAAATCATAGAGCTCAAGACCTTTCAATTCTGAAAAACATACAGATAAGAACCAAAAATGTTACCTCAGAAAGGTTCTGTTCATCATCAAGAGTTCCAGTTTTAGCAGAACTACATGTGCTCTGATGGGGCTGAGAAGTAGAGCTTTAAACCTGAATGTAAATCATTATCAGGAGATCATTATTAGGAGAACTAGGAGAACCAGGAAAACTAGGAGAGCTAGAAGAACTAGGAGACTAGGGACACTAGGATAACTAGGTGAACTAGGAACACTACGAGAAGTAGGATAAAACAAGGAGAGCTAGAAGAACTAGGAGACTAGGAACACTAGGATAACTAGGTGAACTAGGAACACTAGGAGAAGTAGGATAAGACTAGGAGAGTTAGAAGAACTAGGAAACTAGGATAACTAGGATAACTAGGATAACTAGGACAACCAGGAAAACTAGGAGAGCTAGAAGAACTAGGAACACTAGGATAACTAGGTGAACTAGGAACACTAGGAGAAGTAGGATAAAACCTTGAGAGTTAGAAGAACAAGGAGAACTAGGAGAAATAGTAAAACTAGGAGAGCTAGAAGAACTAGGAGACTCGGACCACTAGGAAAACTAGGATAGCTAGGATAACTAGGATAACTAGGATAACTAGAATAACTAGAATAACTAGGATAACTAGGATAACTAGGATAACTAGGATAACTAGGATAACTAGGATAACTAGGATAACTAGGATAAATAGGATAACTAGGATAACTAGGATAACTAGGATAACTAGGATAAATAGGATAACTAGGATAACTAGGATAACTAGGATAACTAGGATAACTAGGATAACTAGGATAACTAGGATAACTAGGAGAACCCAGAAAACTAGGAGAACTAAGAACACTAGGAGAAGTAGAAGAAAACTAGGAGAATCGGAACACTAGGAGCCATAGGATCATTATCATCATGTAAATAATTATCATCATTTTGACAGATAAGAACAAAAAATGTTACCTCGTAAAGGTTCTTTTCATCATCATGAGTTCCAGTTTCAGCAGAACTACAAGTGCTCTGATGGGGCTGAGAAGTAGAGCTTTTAACCTGAATGTAAATCATTATCATTATCATCATTATCATCATTATCATCATTATCATCATTATCATCATTATCATCATTATCATCATTATCGAACCAATGATTTGCCTGAATGAAGTTCAGTAAGAAAATGAACAAAATGTATTTTTTAAAAAAAGATATTTTTGAGAATAAACAAACGAACATTTTTGAGAAAACGATCAAAATGGGTAGTTCATGAACGATGACAAAATGAAATGAAAAAAAAATATGCTTGTTTCTAATTTGTTAACATGTTTAACATTATGATGTCGTTAGTCGTATAAAACTCCCGAAATCTGGAATGTCTGCTTACCCCCATAATCTGCTGGACTTGGGGACCTTTCATGGTTGTCTCTCTTGTCTTCTCCGACAACAGTCCTTCAGAAAGAATCTCTACAGCAGCAACACAGATCCATCTCCTTGGATTGCAAAAAAAAATTCTCGTTCTACTAAACACGCGTCGCCAATTGACTAATCAATAGTCCTCTAAACTAAACCAAACTCTTTGACTAATCAATAGTCATTTAAACTAAACTAACCTATTTGAAAAACATTTATACTCTATAAAAACCTCTCTAAATTCAACTCTCTAAACTCTACTCTCTAAACTAAACTCTCTAAACTCAACTCTCTAAACTAAACTCTCTAAAACACTATTTTAAACTTATGAATAAAAATACCTAGAACATATATTGGATCTTGTTAAAGCGGTACAGGATAAAAAACTACTGACTCTTTAATAAAATGAGCTGACTATTTTATACCCAAGCGAGCCAGGCCTAGGCCTAGCCTAGCCAAGCAAGTTTGTGTATAAAAGAGTCTCTGCAAAAGAATTAAAGCCATACAGGGGGTTTTAAAACTCTAGCTAATGAAGAGTTAAAGCCACGTGGTTTTAAAATTTTAGCTAATAAAGAATTAAAGCCATGCAGGGGGTTTTAAAATTCTAGCTAATGAAGAGTTAAAGCCACGTGGTTTTAAAATTTTAGCTAATGAAGAGTTAAAGCCACGTGGTTTTAAAATTTTAGCTAATGAAGAGTTAAAGCCACGTGGTTTTAAAATTTTAGCTAATGAAGAGTTAAAGCCACG